GAGGCAGGAGACTCGCTTGAGCCCAGGAGTAGGAGGTTGCTGTGAGCTGTAATGCCACGGCACTCTACCCAGGGGGACAGCTTGAGGCTCTGTCTCAAAATAAATAAATAAATGGACAACTTGAATGTAGAAATGATGCATGTGGAAATGATGCCTATGTGTTATGTCTAGACATACCAGGCACCAGGCTAGGCTAAGCACCTTCCCCAGTGTTTGCTTTCCAAATGAAGGGATTAGGCTTTGTTAGGGTAGGGGGCCCAGGATGTGACTCAGGTGTCAAAGAAGGCTGACCCTGGGCCTCCCTTCTGGTCATGGGACATCTCTTTTCTTTCTTTCACAGAATCTCATGTTGTATCCAATGACTCTGACTCAGAGCTGGAGGAGGCCTCTGACGTATTATCATCATCAGGCGCCAGTGCCCTACACCACTTCAACTTCCTAGAGAAGCAAGAGAGCGAGGCCAGCTTAGAGGAGGATCCTCGGAGTGGCAGTGGCAGTGAGGAGCACCTGGAGACCACAGCCGGGGAGGATGGTAATGAAGATGAGGATGGTCCAGCCCAGCGGCTCTCCACATACAACACCAACCAGTCCAACAATGTGATGGGGGTCTGGTAGTCCACCATGAGACTCCATGGTGGGCGGATTGCAATGGACACCTGCTGGGAGAGGCAGCCAGAGTTTGTCTGAGCTGGGGCAGGGTCCACAGCCAGCTTCTCTCCTGAGAGCGCCTGACCCAGGGTGCAGCTCACCCACATTGTTCTGGGGTGGCTGCCACAAGCACCTGGACTTGGACAATCCCACCAATACATAGCTTCTTCCTTTTACCCCACACAGTGGAGAGGAGCCTAGAAGCTTCCAGGAGCATGAGGGGTCAGCAAGGCTATGGGAACCCTGCACACCCCTCCATGATCTGGAGCTACAGGTGCCCACAGGGCTGTGTGGATGGAGGAAACTGTCCCTACTCAGGGTACTGCTCACTCCCTCCTGGGAGGGAGTGGCGGGCGTCTGTAGTCCCAGCTATGTGGGAGGCTGAGACAGCAGGCCCTGCCCTGACCTCTTGCTATCATATTGCCTGGACAAAAGCAACGTCTGGGGCAGGAGGCCATTCTAGAAGCCATGGATGGGGTGGAGGCCGGCCTTTGGTGCAGCTTCCTGGGTCATAGGTTGGCTGAGCCCAGATACCACCTTCAGAACAGCCTCACTTTATAAAAAAGACTATGCTTGGATACCTGGGATATAGGTACATGATGAAGTTGCTTACAGGTCACAGTGTAATTCTTTGACATGCACATTTACTTTGTTTCAAATAAAGTTTTTAATTTGGTTTGTTTCCTGTGACAGCAGCAGCCTTGTTAGAAGGGGCTGGGCTGAGCTGGGCTGGGCACAAATGGTCCCCCAGTGTCTCCTGGGTCCTGGGGAAGGCTGTGGGGAAGAGATTTTGCCAGAAGGCCCAATGAGATAGGTGAGCCTGGGTGGTCTTTGCAACAAGCTGTGTAGATTTCAGCCATCAAGTGACTATTTCATGTAAACTTACAGCTTGGGGCTATCCAACAGACCTTTCTAGATGATGGGTACATTCTCCATCTTCAAGGTTCTTCCTGTATACCAGCCCCACATGGCAACCAAACCCTGGAAATGTGGCCAGTGCACTATAGAACTGCATTTTAAATTATACTGTTTCAAGCCAGGCATGGTGGCTCACACTTACAGCCATACCTACTTAGGAGACTGAGGAAGGAACCCCTTGAGCCCAGGAGTTGGAGGCTGCAGTGAGCTATGATGTTACCATTACACTCTAGCCTGGGCAATAAATGAGACCCTATCTCTAAAAAAAATAATTAAAAACATTTAAATAACAAGTGAAGGATCTGTGCAGACCTTTCTCCAAAGATACACAAATGGACAAGCACATGGAAAGATGCTCAACATCATTACCCACCAGGGAAAAACAAGCCAGTGTAATAAGAGAAACCATGTTATGCCCCCCACCCTGTAATAAAAACCCAAAAATAACTGTTAAGAGAAGATGTAGGGGCTCGGCGCCTATAGCTCAACCGGCTAAGGCGCCAGCCACGTACACCTAAGGTGGCGGGTTCAAATCCCCAGCCCGGACCCGCCAAACAACAATGACGGCTGCAACCAAAAAATAGCCGGGCGCTGTGGCAGGCGCCTGTGGTCCCAGCTACTTGGGAGGCAGAGGCAGGAGACTCGCTTGAGCCCAGGAGTTGGAGGTTGCTGTGAGCTGTAATGCCATGGCACTCTACCCAGGGGGACAGCTTGAGGCTCTGTCTCAAAAAAAAAAAAAAGAGAAGATGTAGGAAAACTAGAACCCTCACATGCGGCTGGTGTGATATAAGATGGTGCAGCTGCTGGTGGAGTCTGAGGGCTCCTCAAAAGATTAAATAGAGTTACCACATGACCCAACAGTTTCACTCCTGGGACTTTTTTTTTTTTTTTTTTTTTTGAGACAGAGCCTCAAGCTGTCCCCCTGGGTAGAGTGCCGTGGCATTACAGCTCACAGCAACCTCCAACTCCTGGGCTCAAGCGAGTCTCCTGCCTCCGCCTCCCAAGTAGCTGGGACCACAGGCGCCCGCCACAACGCCCGGCTATTTTTTGGTTGCAGCCGTCATTGTTGTTTGGCGGGTCCAGGCTGGGGATTCGAACCCGCCACCTTAGGTGTACGTGGCTGGCGCCTTAGCCGGTTGAGCTATAGGCGCTGAGCCACTCCTGGGTCTTCATCCAAGAAAAAGCAAACCACATGTCCACACAAAAACTTGCACATGAATGTTTACAGCAGCCAAAAAGTGGAAAACTTAATGTGGCTCATCCATACATTGAAATATTGCTCGGCCATGAAAGGGAACAAGGCTCTGAGACCAGCTACAATGTGAATGGGCCTTGAGTACATCATGCTCACTGAGAGAAGCCAGACACATGAGGTGAAAAGTCCAGAACAGGCAGATCTGCAAAGTTAGGAAATGGATTCATGAGTGCCAGTGGCTGAGGCTTTCATGTAGAGTGACGGGAACATCCTAGAGTTAGATCTGAGGTGACGGTTGTAGTACACTGTAAATAAAACATAAGCCACATATCACCAGCACGGTGATGCAAAACTGTAGTCCCAGCTATTCAGGAAACTGAGATGGAGGATTGAGTGAGCCCCAGCTGGGCAACACAGTAATAGTACCTCTAAAAAAATTAAAATTAGGCTAGGCGCAGTGGCTCACGCCTATAATCCTTGCACTCTGGGAGGGCGAAGTGGGGATTGCTTGAACTTAGGAGTTCCAGACCAGCCTGACCAGAGTGAGACCCCATCTCCAAAAATAGCCTGGCATCATGACGGGTACCTGTAGTCCCAGCTGCTCAGGAGGCTGAGGTAAGAGAATTGCTTGAGCCTAAGAGTTTGAGGTTGCTGTGACCTATGACCCCACGGCACTCTAGCAAGGGCAACAAAGCAAGACTCTGTCTCAAAAAAAAAAAATTAAAATTGAGGGCTGGGTGCCATGACTCACATTTCTAATCCTACCAGTCTAGGAGGCCAAAGCTGTGGGTGGGGGGTGAGGGGGTAGATCAGGAGTTCAAGACCAGCCTGAACAAGAATAAGACTCTGTCTCTACTAAAAACAGAAAAATTAGCTAGATATTGTGTGTGTGTGTGTGTGGGTGCCTGTATTTCCAGCTAATCAGGAGGCTGAGGCAAGAGGATCTCTTAGGCCCAATAGTTTGAAGTTGCTGTGAACTATGACGGCATGGCATTCTACCCAGGGCAACAGAGTAAGACTGTCTCATGAAAAAAAAAATTGGTTGGGCAGCGCCTGTGGCTCAGTGGGTAGGATGCCGACCCCATATACTGAGGGTGGTGGGTTCAAACCCAGCCCTGGCCAAACTGCAACAAAAAATAGCTGGGCGTTATAGCAGGCATCTGTAGTCCCAGCTACTGGAAGGCTGAGGCAAGAGAATCACCTAAGCCCAAGAGCTGGAGGTTGCTGTGAGCTGTGATGCCACATCGCTCTACTGAGGGTGACAAAGTGAGACTCTCTCTTTAAAAAAAAAAAAATTGGTCCAAACATAGTGGCTCATGCCTGTAATACTAGCACTCTGGGAGGCCAAGGTAGGTGGACTGACTGAGCCTATGGGTTCAAGACCACCCTGAGCAAGAGCAAGATTCCTTCTCTAAAAATAGCTGGGCATTGTGGCGAGCACCTGCAGTCCCAGCAACTTGGGAGGCTGAGGCAAGAAAATTGCTTACGCACAAGATTTTGAGGTTGCTGTGCACTATGTATGACACCAGGGCACTCTACTGAGGGTGACAAAGCAAGACTCTGTCTCCAAAAAAACAACAAAAATGGTGGGAGGCTGAGGCAAGAGAATCACCTAAGCCCAGTAGTTGGAGGTTGCTGTGAGCTGTGTGACGCCACAGCATTCTACTGAGGACGATAAAGTAAGACTCTGCCTCTACAAAAAAAAA